GCAGAACCAGGCTCAGTGTGAGCGGCCATCTGCTGAGGCCCACTGGGGTTCAAGGAGACAGAAGCAGAGAGCTCCGAGCCAGCTCCCATGTCAGAGGATGACGAGATCACATCCAGCCAATCACAGTCAGAGAAACAGGACTAAAGGCAGATCTTGAACATCTAGAAACAAAGGTGTTGATGGAAGCAGCACAGCTGATATTTCTCTCCAGGATGGAGTCACAGCCAAACAGGAACAGACCAGATGAAGCTACATGAGAAAAAGCAGAGAGAGCAGAACGTTAGAGATTGAACTAACAGATTCTGCAGAGTGGGAGAATAGAGATAGAATGAAGCAGAATGATGAAAAAGGGAAAAGTCCCTATGTCCTCCAGCAGTCTAAGCCTATAGCAGCATAACTGTAGAGATAGCTCAGAATAACCTGAGTCACTCTAACTATAGAGTGGCATAAGGACCTGATGAACAATGAACTATTTTAACTGAAGCCGTGTGCTTAAATTTAACGGTCTTCCTTTAATCCAGAAATATTGTTTCAGTTCTGTTTTGTTTGTTGTTTCAGCTGAAGAAACGTTGTTTTGATTTCTCCTCTGCATTTAGGTTTAGGTTTAGATTTAGGTTTTTACATATACATAGATATACGTACAGATATATATATAGAAGAGCTATATTTGTATATATATTTTATCTCTTTTTATTCTTATTTTTTATCTTTATTATATTGTATAGTTGGATGTGTGTATATATCATGTAAAACTGTAACTAGAGCGTGTAACAAAAGTAATTTCCCTCTGGGATTATTAAAGTATTTCTGATTCTGATTTACGCCTTTGGCTGGAAGGGTTCATGGTCATCTGCATAGTTGTTGTTTACTCAAACCTATCTCAAAGTGGGAGCTTGTAGAGTTGGGTCCATAAATATTTTGATACCAACACAAACGCTAACTGAAACATATCTGAGTTATAGTTATACAATAGACATAAGTATAAAGTCCAAGCCTCTAGTTTTCATTTTAGTGAATCAGCTTTAAAACCGAACAAAGGGTGTAGTAGTTCCAGCCCCTTTGTGTGCCACCCTGCTTTTTAAAAGGGACTAAAGCTAATTAGACAATTAACTCAAAGGCTAATTCATGGGCAGGAATGAGCAGGACTCTTGTTATGTAATTCTTAGTGAAGCAGATAAAAGGCCTGTTGTTGATTTGAGGTGTGGTGCTCGCATTTGGAATATCTTGTTGTGAAGAAAATATGCGGTCAAAGGAGCTCTCTGTAAAGGTGAAACCAGCCACCCTTAAGCAGCGAGACAGAAAAGCCCATTTTAGACATTTATACGATTAAAAGAGCGAGAACATTTACATCCGTTGTACATCCTAAGAAAGAAAGAGGGAAGCTAAAAATCATCTAAAAGAGAAACCAAAAACAACACACCCTTGGAATAACATCCTCTGAAAAGATGAAACCAAGATCAACCTCTACCAGGACGGTGCAAAGACAGAAACTAGGCGAAGGCGTGGTACAGCCCAGAATCCACGGCACACCACGTCACCTGCAAAACATGGTGGAGGCCGTGTGACGCTCGCTCAGTAGTGATTAATGATGATGTGACACAGAAAGCAGCCAGATGAACTAACATACTGTGAACTTAAATACAACCAAACTATGGAGGATAAAAAGTGCCAAAATGAATCTGTCAAAATCACCCATCAAAGTTAGGGGGCGGTTTTCTAACACCTGATTGGTCACCCTGCACATTAAGGCGAAGCAAATTGATTACAGAGACTCGATTCGCGTTAACCCCGCCCCCTAACTTTGATGGGTGAGTTTGACAGATTCTTTTAATGGTTTCGATGCACTACGACACAGGACCATGAAATAATTAAATGCACACTGAAATAATTATATATATTTTTTAAATAAAATGAAGACGTATTTTATTAAATTAATGACACATTTATATATTTAATTCCTTATTTATTTAATGAATTACACATTTAATTAATTGTTAATCGCTGTATTTATTTATTTAATCATGGCACTTTATATTAGTGACGTGGTTTTAATTAATGAATGACACATTTATTTATTCAATTCCACATTTAATTAATTATTGACACATTTAATTATTTATTTAATGCTGTATTTATTTATTTAATTTTGGCACTTTTTATCCTCCATACCAAACTGATTGCTCAGCTTTTTGTTAGATGGACGGTGACCCAAAGCGTAAAATTAAGGCAAAGAAGATGAATATTCTCAAATGGCTGATATTAACCCGACTGAAAATATATTTCCCTTATTGCTGGTGCACAGCAAAAAATCGAAATTTGAAAAGGTAATTCTTTTTTAAAATAAGTGCATTTTTTTCTTGAATTTAGGAGGTAAGTGAGACACTTTGCCAAAGAAACCATACAATTTACAATTAAAATAAGAAAAAAGAACTGCATTTTCTTATTTCAAGTGCATATTATCTAATTAACTTATTCTAAGAGTAAAAATACTAATTCAGTTGGCAAACAATCTTATTTTCCTGCTTTAAATTAAGAGTAAATTCACTTAATTTAAGACATTTTCATTTATTTCTAGATCATTTTTGCAGAAGAATAAAAAGAGATAAAATATATACACATATAGCTCTTCTGTATATATATCTCTACGTATTTCTATGCATATGTAAAAACTTAATCCAAATAAAGTGAAAATCCAAGTAAAGTGATAAATCCAATTAAAGTGAGGCGTGGCGTGCAAAAATAGTGCATAAATGTCAATTACGGGTGCGTGGGGGTGGGGGGTGAATCACTTAAGGGAGATTGATGATCACAGGTAGGAATGATTTCATGTGGCGCTCTGTGGTGCATCTGGGTATCTGATGATCTTATTTTAAGGGTAAAATGTCTCATTCCATTGGTAGATCTTCTTATTTACCTGCTCAAATGAAGGATAAATACACTTAATTTCAGAAATGTTAACTCATTTCTAGATTGTTTTTGCAGTGTGCTCTGAGAAAGTTGCAAGTACTCGGTTCAATCCTCAAAGCCTCCACTCTGGGTCTCTGAAATGGCAGCGCACTGCTCCCCAAGGGGATGGGTTAAATACAGAGAGTGAATTTCTCCAATCTGAGATTAATAATTTGATATTATATATTAAAACAGCTGCTGTAAAAAGGAGGAAAGCAGCGTCTGGTGATGTCTATAGGCTCAAGACTTCGGTTTCAATCAGGAAATGAACATTTTAGAATTATTTAACTTATGCAATTAATTTTAAGTCCCTGAAATAAAGCAATTGTGATTTAATAAAAAAGGATAAATTTTCTTTCATTTTAATGTACTTGTTTTACTCAACCTACTGATTTAAAGCTGAAATTCTAAACTTAAGTTGCATCTGAACTTTGAACCTAAATGTAGATATTGAATAGGCAGATAGGCTCTAACTTCACTGATAAAGGAGGTCCAGATTTGGCCGAAAGGTTGATTCTTTGAGTAAAAAGAAGATTTTTTTTTAAAGAAGAACATACAGTAGATGTCTTTGCCGCTTCCAAAAACATATTAAAAGGCTTCCACTGTTTCCTAGCGTACCACAAAACTTCCAAATTAAAATGAAAAGGCCTAGACAGAAAGCGTTTCCTCCACAGTCGAAACCTTCAGCCATGATGTCTTCACCGAAGCTCTTTCCTCACTATCTTCTCCATCAACGCCGTACTCTGATACTACAGAGTCATGTGAGGACTGGACAGGACTTTGGAAGTGATACAGCAGAACAAAAACTGAAAGCAGTCATTCTTCGGTTCCGCTCTGCTGCCGCCACCTCAGACACTCACCGCTGCCACCATATTGACCTATGACTCCTTTCTCATAGCACTCCAACACCCCATCAAAAGTATCTGTTATTAATGCATAGTACATGTCAATAGATCATTGCTATATCGTAGTTTAGGCATCGTTATATTTTGATCATATTTCATCTGATTACATTACTGATTTTAGATTTAAACAGATTTTTGTGATGATAAAAATTATAATCCTTTCATTTTCTGCATGAATGTAGTTATATATAAATAAGGACGTTGTATAAAATGAAACTTATGGAAGTTTCTTTGGAATAAATATGCCTGCAGCCAGGGATCTAAAAAAAAGTCATGACTGTTTACAGTGTGCTCTACCAAAGAATGCAAAAGCATGGAAAGTTGAGTGGAAGGAAAAAGCTGTAGCTGGAGTCAGAGATGTTTGGAAACATACATCCAGGAAATATATCACATCTGTCACTGTTTGCTGTCATTTTATGACACCATAGTGACGTTTTAATGGAGATTCCTGAAATAGAAGTCACAAACAATATGCATAGAGGAATTTTTAAAAAGTTATAAAGGAAACCTTCCCAAGAAGACTGACTTTGAGAAAATAAAACACCCTCAGAAAAATTTAAATACAAAAAAGGGGAAAAAAATCTCTTAAAAGAAAGACTAGAACTCTTTAAGAACAACAACAAAAAAATCCTTTGCATTTTATCAGGTAATCCAGGTCCTGGAGGCTTGGAATAGTTAGTGGTTTACTTGGGGGCCAGAGTGAAGTTCTGTCAGTCAATGATGATTTGTGGAGTGATGACTTGGCTGCTGCTGGTCCATGTTTTTTTATTAAATAAAAAAAAAAAAAAAAGAAAAAACTTCACGTTTCCCTCTGCTAGTAAACTTTATAAAGTGTTAATTTCCACAAAGATCATACACCTACCAACATGTTGACATCATTACTTCTTACAGCAACCTCCTACTCAGACAAAACATTAAAACATACAAAACATCTGTAATTCTGACTCAGATTTATAGTATTATTGACAATTATTGACATTAAATCTACATCATGTCCCAGAACCAAGGGAGCTCTTCAAGAAAAACAGCTTTATGTTTTAATCAATTTATCATTGTGTATCTATTTATTTTACATTTTTTTTAATCTCAGGGGACTACGAATAACATTGATAATCTGCTAAAAGATTTTTTTGTCTCTATTTTTCCATGGTCGACATGCTCTACCTGCTGTTCACAGAGGGGAACACCACCGGAAGACGCTTTATGTTTTAAATCTCGCGATATCAGGCCGAGCGAGACTTGTGGACGTTCTTTTCCACTGGATCATCGGGCAAGATGGTAGGTATCGCTGCTGGAGCAGTGCTTTTTAAACTCTATCCTGGTCCATCTGGGCTTTTCTGTGGATTATTTTAACAGCTGGTTGTATCGTCCGACCTTTACAGAGTTTTTCTAACATTTCTGATGAATATTGTTTCATAAAATGGTTTAAATTGTTGCGGTTGGTTGTGTTTTAGCCTTAGCTTTAGGCCGGCTGTTTGCTACTTAAAACCGATAATTGAAAGTACCCTTTTGTTTAATCTAAAAGTAAATCGCATTAAACTCTGTACAGGCGTCTTATTAAGCGGCTCAGTTAGTGTTTTATAAGTATAAACATGTCCGGTTGTAATCGGGTTGTAATCAATCGTGAATGCTAACCTGTTTAGCCACACTCGCTAACTAGAGTGATGCTTGACTCTGGCAGGCGGACACCGAGATCAAGAAGAAGCGTACCTTCAGGAAGTTCACCTACAGAGGGGTGGACCTGGATCAGCTTCTGGACATGTCCTAGTAAGTGACTCTGATCTGCTACAGTTTCTGCACTCAGAATGATGCCATTACTAATGTTCTGAACGTTTATAACCAGGTGGATTCAAAGTCAAACTCCTTGTCGGTCTAATACCTGAGCCTATGACACAGAATCTGATTCCTTATTTATAGGAACAGAAATATAATTATTAATATCACATTGGGTCATATTTGGGTTTATATGCTTGGTTTGGTGATTTTATTTTATTAAAGACCAGAATGTGTAATTGGAGATCTGAACTGGAGATTTTTTTTTTTTTTCTTCTGTCCAATGGCCGTCTCATCTGTTTGCACATCTTCAGCTTCCATCATGACCTTCAGTTTTTTTCTCCTCCTTTATGCTGACTTAAAGATGTAGAACTAAGGCTCAGATGTCAAACTCTGGTCTGGCAGGACCACTGTTTTGCAATCTTTGATCCTTCTCTTCATCTTGCCTTATATGGCAAATATTTACAATAATTTGAAGGACAGACCCCCATGAGGACAGGATATTGAGATCACTGCCCTATAAAATGTGTTTTCCATAAAAGCTGCAGACATTTTTACATCTAGCAGGTTTCCTCTGACAGAGTGCTTAGTCCAAATAGAATAACATTGCTCTATCAAGCTCGACCTTCCCGTTATCTGCTTAAATCTTTCTTCTGCGTTTGCAGCCTGAATGAACCAAATAACCTTTTTAACTACATAATTTTAGCACTTTGCTAAGCCTGAATATGGCTAAGCTGAAATGTTCCTCACTGTTGAACAGATGTGCACAGATGTAGTGCTGGTGTGCTCTTGTCTTACCATAGTTGGTCATATTAGTATAGATGAGATTCACCAGGACAAAGTGAAATAAATAATTTGTATCCAAATTCCTTTCATTTTTTTATTTTATTTTTTAAATTTTCTTGCTTCTTATAACTGCCATTAGAACAGATTTTTCTCAAAGATGTGCAGGACACCATCCCTGGAGGACTGGAAAATTTTGCTTTTGTAATATATGGAGAGAAATATTGTTTAAAAAAAAAAACTTCATAGAAAATTATTTTCAATTTGGAGCTTTACATGAGCAGTTGTTTTTATTTAGATTATATATGCAAAAGCTTTTTTTCTGAGATTTTATTCATTCATTTTTTTGTGTTATTTTTTGTTTATGAAACTTAAGTTGTAGGATTTTATTAAGTTTTCCAAAGTTCCATTTCTGAAACCTGTTCTTTGCCTTCTATAATAGGATGCATTAATCACTGGGTCTTAATATTCCTAAAAAAAATTTTTTTCTTCAGAAACCTTGCATGGGAGAAACATGCTTAAAATGTGACCCTGTTGCTTATGTTGGGTTGTCTCTTCCTAAATCCAAACTTCATAGACATGCTTTGAATTTAGCTGAAATCAGTTTGAAGGTGATGCAGGAGTGCAAAGCTAAACGTGTGTAAAATGTCAGTCGATCTTATGAAATGAAACTCCAACTCTAAAGAAAAAAGTTTGTAACCTTCTGTGTGTCGTGTCTCTGCAGCGAGCAGCTGATGCAGCTGTACTGCGCCCGCCAGAGGAGGAGGCTGAACCGCGGCCTGCGCCGCAAACACCAGTCCCTCCTCAAGCGGCTGCGTAAAGCGAAGAAAGAGGCTCCTCCTATGGAGAAACCAGAGGTGGTGAAGACCCACTTGAGGGACATGGTGATCCTGCCAGAGATGGTCGGCTCCATGGTCGGCGTGTACAACGGCAAGACTTTCAACCAGGTTGAGATCAAGGTGAGCGTCTCTGACCGATGCTGGGAGTTCAAGATGGAAGCTTTTCATTTTCTCTACAGACTGAAACAGTTTTGTTTTTCTACCCTTAAACCAGCTCAACTTTTCATCCCACTGTTTGATGTGTAATCCCACCGGTCTGATTTAGTTTTTGTCCTTTTTTCCCTGCAGCCTGAGATGTGTGGCCATTACTTGGGAGAGTTCTCCATCACCTACAAGCCAGTCAAGCACGGTCGCCCTGGTATCGGAGCCACACACTCTTCCCGTTTCATCCCTCTGAAGTAAAATGGCTGTATTGTTTATATAAATAAAACAGAAAATAAACTGGGCTTCCCCACAATGTTGTAATGTTTTTTTCTTTTTTTATTGCATCAAATCTTGCATAAGCCTATATTTTTAAAATATTTTGAATCTTATATTTCATTAGTTACACCTTCCATAGTTTATTTTAATGAATATTATGGTGGCTTCCATCGGATCTGTGTGCTGTACTTATGGCTGAGGTATAAAGCATGTCAGGTGCACTTTCTCAAAAATACAGACGTTAATGTTAAAATAACCTATAAAAGAATAAAAACTGGATCTTGAAGTCAATCCCTTTGGGGTTTATTCAGCACTGGCCTTTTATTTTATTTGTATTTCATTGAAATTGAGACCAAAAACTAGATAAATGATTGTAGCAGGAATTATTAACCATGGGAGTGATTTTTTTTATTGATTTTTAAATAAAGTCGCATTTTAGGCAAGCCTGGTCCTTTCTGGTTTTAATAGAGGTTTAATCTAGATAAAGGGATTAGTTCCTGATGGATTTATTTACAGTTTGTTTTTTGGCGACTGAACACCAGACAAAAGCCGCTTCTCTAAAAATACAATGCATGGGGGGGAATAAAAAAAAAGAGGTGCGTCTTGGAAAAAGTACCGATGTGTAACTAGTCCACCGGGAGCAAGGTTCCCCCCTCTCCTCCGTTCCCAGCCTGTGTGCCAGCTGCATCTTGTGCGGCTGTTTCGGCCATGGATTCAGCCGCGAAACCTGTCTGACACCAAGCTAATAACCCATAGCTGATAAAAGAAGCTGTTACCTAACCGGTAAGTAGCGGGGTTAATTTGAGCCCGGGCATTAGAAGGTTGTCCGGGATCAGTTTTCACAGAAAGCGCCGCCGCGGCTACCAGCTTCGGTAGCTAGCTAGCTAGCCGGAGAGCGAAAGTGACAGAGAAGGAGAGTCCTGTCAGAATCCAACCAATGAAGAAAACTGCTGTTTAATGACCGCGTCCAACAGCTCTGGCCTTTCAAGGTCGCTGTGATACATAACATCGGTTCTTTTATTGGTTTTAAACAGCAGCCAGCTAAGTGTTACCGGCGTTACTGAGGAGTTGCAATCTGAGAACAAAGCTCCATTGTAGGCTAGCTAACTGTAACACACCCGGTATGGTTCTGTTCCACCCGGGGTTTGTTGTAAAAGGATCTCGTAGACAGAAGCAAGTGATTTCTGAGATGTTTTGTTTCATAAATGAACATTTTAATTTGGTAGCATAGCAGCAGCGGGAAGACACCACCTCTTAACCTGCAATACAAATAAAAGAGTAAATAAAAACGAAAACACTGTTTAATTCTGTCAAGTTCTGGATCAAATATTTTGCTCGCCTAATCTGTTGGGAAGGTCTCAGCTCTGAGTCATGACAGATCAGTATTCTCCTCCCCTGTGAGCTGTTGTCTAATGAAGGGGATGCTTCATCACAGTCAACATCAATTATCAGAGCAGGAAGGTAAAACAGGAGCTTTAGTGGTTTGGAGCCTCAGTTTTTCCCCATAGCTTCCTGCGTCATGCTGATCTGAGTCAGATCTGAATTACTAGCTGTGAGCCTTCAGTTTTCCCAACCAACATGCCTAGTCTGGTCGTATTCAGAATTCAAACTTCTCAAAGTACTTTAAATATGAAATTATTCCATACTGTTCAATAAATAAGTGTTTTTAATTAAGAGTAATTTTCATTTGAATGTGCTTTACTGGAGGCATCCATGTTTGTCAAAGAACACTACTGCCACCTACTGGTTTGTGACGTCACGGTGCGGTATCGGCTGTTGATCAAGTCCCAGTGCTGTATCTGGTGTTTGTCACAACGCGCTATTATCCAAGTCATCTTGAAAACATTCTTCTTCCAAATGTTGGCTACATATTACGGGTTTTTTCTCTGGCCAGAAGTTCGATGGCAAATCCTCCCTCTTCAAGTTGGCGATCCAACAACAAACCCGTCCGTGGAGAATCAGGAATCGCAAAGGTGGAATAAGAAATTTATTTTCACTTTTACCCGATATATTCCAACATCCAGCTGCCATGCACGTGGGCATTGTCAGTTTCACTATAGCTCTGGTGAATTGCAATGGTGAAGTCCTCTGGCAATTTTTAAAGTAGTAAGGAAATCACATTTAAATGTCATCATTCTGGCTTAAACATGTATATAAATGTACTCTTTATCAGACAATATTATCCCAAAATTTTGAAAAATTCTATTTAAAAAACAAAATCCTGTCTTAGAATCTGTGGGAGTTTTTTTCCCCGTTATCTTCTGCAGGCCAGTTAGTTCTACATCAGCTCGTACACCAAAATTCGGCCAATCATATATCAACGGTCATCTGTCAATTAGATTTTTTTGGTCATAGCATCTTGATTCATATGTCGCAGCTAATATATGCAACGGTTGAAATCAGAATCCTTTCCTTTCTCATTGAGTTGCGTCCCAGTGTTCACAGGGATGGACGTCTGTGTCTTCGGCAGGTGTAGAGCTAACAGAACTGGCAGCGTTGCGAGGCAAGGGCTCAAACATGGACGGCTGGAAGCCTTCTACACCAAACCAAGCTTCTGCCGCCCTGGCGTCCTCTTCCACAACATCTTCGTCCCCGCTTTCCTCCTCTAAATAAAAAATGGATGACGGAGGAGACTCATCCACGACCTCCGACACTAAACTCTCCTCCTCTTGCATGTTTCCGCTGTCCATAGCGTTCCTTGACAGCGTCGTTTCTAAGTCACCAATTTAGTGCTACTTGGTCCCAATGGAATTTCCCATTGGGAACCTGCTAGCACTAAGTTGCTAACTGGTTAGCAAGATGCTTCCAACAAACCGGCCATAACAATCCCGGCCCCTTGATAAACGACCAATCACATTCACTTTATTCTTTATTCACCACTCGAGAGAATTAACAAATGCAACGGTTGCAGATGTGTCTAGTAGTTCCCATTGATTTAGCTTGTAAAGCGGGGAGAATGGCGCTAGGCTTACCGCACCGTGACGTCACTGCTGGAAGATGGCAGGAGGGAGGGGCTACTATATTTGGGCAAAAATGGCCGCTCCCAGACTTGTTGTTTTAATTTTTTTTATGCTAAATTAATTAAACTGCTGCAAACGTATTTGTTTTAGGTATAGATAATGATCCATTGATCATTCCTTGCTGACTGGACTTTTCCTTTAACCTCCATTAAACATTACTGTCCTCTGATCAGGTCACATATTAGGATCCGACCTTCTGATCAGTGAATGAATAGAGGGAAATAAGGCATCTGGAAAAGGTAAAACATTTCAGATTTTCCTCACGACTCCCTGTTGCTTCTTTACCCAAAGCTGATTAGCTCCATGTGTTGTCCATGCAGTTGTCGGACTGCGAGCGGGATGGCTGTTGACGGCCTGTGGGACAGCACAGAGGTGGTGGAGATGGACGACGTTCCGTCGCAATTCTTCGTGGAGAAACACTCTTGGGAGGGCCTTCGTGACATCATCCACTGTAGCAGGAAATACTCGGGTATGATCGCCAACAAAGCCCCCCATGACTTCCAGTTTGTGCGGAAGGCGGATGAGAATGGGCCCCACTCCCACCGGTTGTACTACCTAGGTATGTCTGTTCAAAGTAAATTAAAGATTAACTTGAAGTTTTTCTTCTTATAGTCTTTGATTTTTTGCACATAGAACCACATCATGCAATAAAAACCGGATTCCTTAAGACTTTTTTGCTGTTTTTTTTGTTTTTGTTTACAGGAATGCCTTATGGAAGCAGAGAGAACTCATTACTCTACTCAGAAATCCCTAAGAAAGTCCGCAAGGAGGCCCTTTTAGTGTTGTCTTGGAAGCAGATGCTGGATCACTTTCAGGTGAGCGTCCTACAGGGCTGAGAAACCCAAGCTTTGCACACTGTGTGGAGTTTGACTTTTACATTGTTTAGGATATTTAGAGCGACTCTGCTGATAGAGGACAGTATTGGGGCCAAAATTAAGACCATTGCTTACTTCCTCGGCGCTGGAGGTTATATCCATTCCTATAGCAGCTACTGAACCGATCAATGAGCAATGATGGGATAATAATGTTTTAACGACGATAGCACAGTCATTTTTGAACTGGACTGATTCTATCATGATGCATTAAGAGGAAAGCATTGAAATAGAAATTAATTCAACGTTCACAAATGAGATTAAGTTAGAACGAATCCTATACTGGGTTTAATATATTTTCTCATTAGTCCAAAATAATATATTCTGAGTTTGAATGGTCTAAGGACCGTAATTCTCTAAATGATAGCAAATTAACCCTTCCTTGGGCTTCACTTGTTATACCCCTTACTTGTGCTTCTTGTCCCTCTGTGAGGTCTAGAAGCACTAGATCTATATCCAGCCATTCAGCAAAGATGCTGCTACATGGCTGCACATCTTATTTTGGCTTTTGACCAATTAGATGAGCCCTTGGATGATATATTACCTACTATAAATTAAGAAAAAAAAAAGTGAGCAATTCAAGAAAAAAGGTAAAAAGCTAACTGAAAAGTTAAAAAGTTAATAAGCTTCGTTAACAATTGTATTTAAATTTATAAACTGAAAAATGTAAGTGCCAGTACCAGCATTAGTGCCTCTAAGGCTACGTTCACACTGCAGCCTGAAGTGACCCAAATCCGATTTTTTGGCCCACATGCGACCTGAATCTGATCTTTTCATGGCTGTCTGAACAACACAGATCCGATTTTTTTTCCAATTCGACCCAGGCCACTTTGCTCTGTGGTCCTGAATTCGATACGAATCGGATCTTTTTAAATGCGACCTGTGTCTGAACGTCATTAATACCCGACAAACGTCACTATTATGCGTCTTGCTACACAGAAACAGCAAGAAAAAAAAACAACCATGGCAGATCATGATGCGGAGAGCGGAATTTATGTTTAACCATATTGAAAAGAATGTATTTTTATGGTTGGAAAAGACTGCTAGATGCGCGCCGACCCCTACCATCCATGTTTACACGCTGGCCTGTGACGTCATTACGTCCTCTACTGCGCATGCGGGACACTTGCGTTGTATGACTGCAG